TAATCACCTCAATCGTCCTTAATCCTCTAGTATTTCTCTACACAGTCTGAACTTACACTATCTCTAAATCAGTTTCCTTTTTATTTTTCAATTTATTCATTTTTCTCCTAATTTTCATTTTCTACAAATAACTCTTAAATGGATTCCTCTTAATTTCATGCACAGTGCCCTCCTTTGACCCTGTTATCTAATATTTATAACTTTTCATTCTAAATTATAGCATTCCTCTTTGGAGAAAAAATCACATTTATTTGGTGAAGTTGAGATCACACATAGTATTTTTCTTTATAAATCTAATGCTTTCCTTGAGAGATTAGGACCATCTATTAAAAGTTCCTTCAGCTTCCTTTCCTTCAGTCTCAGAAATTTTAAATATTTTAATTTATTCTTTCATTGGTATCCTCCTTCATTTTTACCTCTTCCATTCATTTCTTACCCATTATAATCTGATTTCTGTCCTCACACACCAGCCATTGAAATGGCCCTGTTGATGGTCATCTTGTCAAATGGTTCTTTGCCTTGCCCCTTGCCTAACCTCTTTGTTCTGCTTTACCCTGTTGACCAATTTTCTTTCCATCCTTTTCTGTTTTTCCTCTTTCACTTCTTCTCTCCTCTTTCATCCAGTATTAGGGGTAGTGCTAGACTCTGGGTATACAAGGATTTACATGAGAGAGAGAGAGAGAGAGAGAGAGTTCTACTCTTAAGAACCACTGTCTTCTTTGTCTAACAAGAGGATAGACAAATAGTAATAGTACAGCATGCTAAGGATTTCCCATTTAGTGGCCTTAAGGTTCAGAAAACACCTTGGTTTCCATCTAAAAATTATCTCTTCTGGCTTATTCTTTATATACACCCTTCCCTTAAATATGATAATTTCCAAGAATTCAGTCTTTTGCCCATTTTTATTTTTGCTCTCACTTGCCCATGGATTCTCATATGCCATTATGATGTTAAGTCTTACCTCTATACATAAAACTTTCAAAGCCTACATTTCTAGCACTAATCTTTCACTTCATTTTCAAACCCATACTACAGACCGATTCCTAGAAATGACTAACATGGCTGTCTTCACCCATACTTAACTTCAGCCTTTCCAAATCTTTTTCCCTCTCCAACAAATACACATATGAAAATCACTTGAACAAACAAAATTTATCCCGTGTTTCTTCTCTCAGTGAGTTACTTTATCATTTTCTCTGTTATCTGGCCTCTAGAAGTCTCTGAGTCATTTTTAACTCTTGATTCAACTCATCTCTTACATATCGGGCATTGAGTTAAGTATATTATGAACAGGATCTAGTTTAATTCTTTTACTATGAGGTCAATATTACTATGAGGTCAAAACAATATTTTTTTCTATATTTTTATACACAAGGAACTTGAGAGTCTGGAGGATGAAGCAGTGTGTCCAAAGATAATATGCAGTGCCTGACTGGCTGACATAGGGTCACACCCATGTGGGAGTCTCTGCAAAGTGTGGTCTTTTGTCCATTGTATTGTACGGACTCTTCTCACAATTGGTCTCATGGTCCTTCTGTACCAATATGAGCACATTTAATATCCACATTTGTACTTTTGTTACTTTTAGTGGTTCTATAATCTGTATATATTTGTGACTAGGAAGAGATTTTTAATAGATTGTAGAAGAACTTTTCAGCCAATTAAGCTGAAATGGGGCTCAGCAGACTTTTTCTGTAAAGGACAAGATAATAAGTGTTTTAGGTCTTTGTGAGCCATATAGTCTCTTGCAGCTATTCAGCTCTGCCTTCACAGTAGAGAAGCCACCACAGACAAAATATAATTGCATGGGCATTGCTGCATTCCAAGAAAACTTTATTTACAAAAATAGGACATGTGCAGGTTTGGCCCTTGGTTCTAAGTTAAATAGTATTTCATTTCCACTATCCAAACTAATAGGTTTTATTTGACTTATTAATTTATTCATTCACATATTCATTTGTGCATTTACAGTGCAATTATGTATAATCATGTTCATGTAAGAAAGAAGTTAAGAGAAGTAAAAAAGAGGTATAATTTGAATTTAACAGTCTGGGTCTACTGATTGAGAAATACTTGAGTTGCTCAGAGTTCTGGACTTTGTTCTTGGGGATGTGTAAGAGTTTCTGTAAGGTGCATGATCTGAGCCTTAGTTTCTTTGTAAAGTGAAAGGAATAGTACTTACCTCACAGCATTGGTGAAAACATGAGATAGAATTCCTGCCGTATCAATAGAAGTCTGCCATTGGTGTTATTGTTTTCCTGGGTCTACTGTGTTTTCCACATTGTTTTTTTAATGTTTATTTATTTTGACACACACACACTCACACACCTACCCTCCTCAACACACATGAGTGGCAGAGGGGCAGAGAGAGGGAGGGAGAAAATCCCAAGCTGGCTATGTGTTCTCAGCAGAAAGCTCCAGGCCGGGCAGACCAGGCTCTAACCCAAGAACCATGAGATCATGACCTGAGGCAAAATCAAGAATCCCTTGCTTAACCAACTGAGTCACCAGGTGGCCCTTGAACTCTTTCTTCTAGAGAAATTTGACAGAGACAAACAGAAAGGAATCTCCTCTGATGAAAGTAGGAAGGTTATCATAATCATTATTCTCTCCCTGTAAGAGATGATAACAGAAAAAGAAAACCCCAAATAATTGTTTTGGGTGGGGAGAATAGACAGTGGGGTACATATGCCAGGGCTGAGCAGATAGATAAAATGTCTGGAAAGGAAGACAAGAAAATTAAACCTTCCTCAGTACGGTGGAGGTTGGGTGGAGAACAAAGAAGGGATATGAGGGTAGGGCACAGATGTGGGAACAGAACCTAGAAGTGAATGTGTGAAGGGCTGAGAACTGAGATGGTAAAAAATAGTCAGCAATCCAGGATTAACTGCATCAATAGCACCTTCCCCAGAAGAATTCTGAACTTTGTGTAACAGCATCTGCCTATGGAGGGAAGATGTGCTTTCTCATGTCTTGCCAAGGAGGCTGAGCTGGGTAGCTAGTAACCTAACACTCTGACTTTGTGCCAAGATGTATGAGGTGGGACATGTATATTTAAAATTCCTATCTCTAGCATTGACAAGCCACTGAACACTGTAGGTAGGAAAGCAGATTCCCCCTGAAGCTCAACAAAAAACACTTTTAGAAACAACTGACAAAATAGTGCCATAATCTAATAAATCCAGGGAGTTCCTGGGTATCTTCTCTTATGACAGCAGTTTCCAGCAAGGGTGTAATGCACAGGCTTTGAATAAGCAATCACACCCACCCACAATAACTTAGCTTGTAGCTAGGTATTTTCAGTTATGCTTTTGAATCACGTACCCTGTGCTGCCTGGGCACATGCTCAGTATGCTTTTAATGGTCACTTGGAAAAATAGAATTCCCTCCTAATGCAGCTTACTATCACGAAGGAATTACTTTCTTAGTATGATTATAGGGCCCTTAAAGTAAAATAACCACATGGTTGTATGCTTTAAAGTAGCCCAATAGATTAAAAAAAATGTAAAATTTTGAAGGTGATTTCTGTGGTATAATTCATAATACATTTTTTCTGAACATGAGGATATGACATCTAAAGATTTTCATTACTGAGATCCCCAAGTCAGTTTAAAATGTGCTTCTGTGACCATGGGGAACAAACACTACATTAGTGGCCCAGAATCTTCTGCTGTTGTCTTAATTCTCCCAGTACCCTAAACTTCAATCAGCTATACCTGGGTCTTTGTCACCTCCTTTGTTTGTTTGTTTTGAGAGAGACAGAGTGCATGTGCACATGCACGTGCACAAGTGGGGGAGGGGCAGAGAGAGAGAGAGAAAGAGAATCCCAAGCAGCCTCCATGCTCTTAGTGCAGAACTCACCATCCGTGAGATTGTGACTTGAGCCACAACCAAGAATCAGCCACTAAGCCAGCTTAGCCACTCAGGCACCTCTGTCACCTCAATTTTGACATGAATGGCCTGTCATGGTGACTTCTGAAGTGACTTTCCACTGTGAAATTTGATGCTCATCTTAAATTAATTAAATTGGTCTCTTCTTAGATTAAATTCTAGGCATTTAAAAAAAGATTTAGTGGGTACTTTGTTTTCTGGCTGTTCTGTATCCCTAACCATGTAAGTGTAGCCCCTCTCCTGGTTTATTGTGGGTGCGTAGTAGAAACTTTCTCTGTTGCAAAACAAAAATAAAATGGTAGGATGCCTCAGTGGTATGCAGTTTAAATGACTCGACCAGATGTGAGGCTAGAAAAGATTTGTATTCATAAAAATAACTTCAGCTGTCCATTGCTATAGTCTATCATTTTGCGTAAATATTTCCTGAAGTTCATTTTTGTTTTTATAAAAATGAAAAATAAAAATAACCACCACCATGAAGTGGTATATTTTATTTGAAACATCAAAAAAAATGTTATTGTGATAACAATTTTGTAACAGTATGTAATAGCATTTTGCAATACGGTGGGATAATCCAGAAGTCATGTCTGTCATAGGTAAACAGAACTTGGTAGTTAGGAGAATGAACAGCAGAAATGTGCAGGATAGATGTTTCAAATATCATGTTCTGCTGTATGTAATCATGTGTTTCCTTTAATTAATGAGACTTTGCTAGGGTCAGCCAAGCCCTGTCTTTTAAATGATCCCTCTAAACTTTTTGATTCGTGAATATAGTCCATATGTAAGGAAATTGTCACATTTAAAGTTTTTTTCAACATAAGGTATTTAGGACATGACATGATATGATAAAGCAAGTTGTCTTCAAACCCAAGGACACAGGGAGGACAACTTGAGAGTAGGTGTCTAAAAGTGATGTCCAAGGTTCTTTTGACTTAGAGTGGTGACTATTAAGCCTCTGGCAGCAGATTGCCTTAATTTGATCTATGTGGAGGAGGTCGTGGGGAGACAGATGTCAGTAGGGTAGTGGGGGCTAGGAGGAGACATAAAGGACATGTTTACTTTTTACAGCGCAAAGCTTGACCTATGCTCTGCACATGTGCTCTTTCCAGAGTCTGTGAAAGAAGTTTCTACAATGGTTTGTTTAGCACTCAGGAGAGTTGCCCACATGCATGTCTACCTGGTGAGGAAGGCCAGCAGTGTCTCCAAAGGCCATCAACAGGCTGTGGGCTCAAGACCTGCTGCTTCAAAGTTTGCTCCCCGAGGAGCTCTGGGCAGCGTGCTGGAGCTGCTAGGCAAATCCTACCCTCAGGACAACTATAGCAACCTGTCTCGGAAAGTCCTCTCCAAGGTTGGGAGGAATCTGCACAATCAGCAGCATCACCCTCTTTGGCTGATCAAGGAGAGGGTGAAGGAGCACTTCTACCAGCAGTATGTGGGCCGCTTTGGGACTCCGCTTTTCTCGGTCTATGATGACCTTTCTCCAGTGGTCACCACCTGGCAGAACTTTGACAGCCTGCTCATCCCAGCTGATCACCCCAGCCGGAAGAAGGGAGACAACTATTACCTGAATGGGACTCACATGCTGCGAGCACACACGTCCGCACACCAGTGGGACCTGCTGCGTGCTGGGCTAGATGCCTTCCTGGTGGTGGGCGATGTATACCGGCGGGACCAGATCGACTCCCAGCACTACCCAGTGTTCCATCAGCTGGAGGGCGTCCGACTCTTCTCGAAGCATGAGGTGAGTCTTGAGACATTTTTTATCCTTGACAGAAAGCCTAAATGTTCTTGTGGAGGTCCCTAAAGTTTATCTCAATGACACCACTTGTCCTTGATCTCATTTTGCATTTGTATATTATACAGCCTTTTTTACAGGCCAAGCCTCAATATTTTTGATTGACTTGTTGTGTTGGTACCTATAGAAATTAGTGGGCCTTTGTTTTCACCTGTCTGACCTTATTCTTTCAATACTGGCGTGTCTTTCTCTGGGTTTCTGCATGGGTGAATAGTCAATGGCTCAAATCTGTCCTCAGTCCAAAAGAAGGAGCATACAGTGCTGACATCTGTGGTCAGATTATTCCAGTTCTCAGTTCATACAAGTTAATTATGTGTTCATACTATTAGAGATTAATGAATTTCTTATACAGTAGAGGTAACTGGCAATTTATGGGCTTAGATTAGAAACTGTTCTTATCCCCAAGGTTTTCCCTTACCCTTCCCTGCTTTACATTTGTGCTTTACATAGTTTTCTTTGTGAGATATCTTCATTGTTGCTGTTCTTGAAGTGTATGTTTGGATGCTTAGTGTTTTTTGATCAGGAAATCTGATATTCTGGTTATTCTCAAAAGCACCCAACACCTTGCATTTGTTAACTGATATCATAATATATTGATTTCCTGATATTTTTGGGCAAATTATGAAAGTCCCTAAAAGCTTGAGTCTGTTTCCTAAAAACCTTCAATACCACTAGTCTTTCCATTCATTTATTTTTAAATCTCTATTTTTTACATTTATTTATTTTGAGAGAGAGAGAGAGAGAATATGAGAAGGGGAGAGGTAGAAGGAGAGAATGCCAAGTAGGCTCTGCACTGTCAGCGGAGAGCCCAATGCAGGGCTTCAAATCATGAGCCAGGAGATCATGACCTGAGCCAAAACCAACAGTCAGATGCTTAACTGGTTGAGCCACCCAGATGCCCCTCTCTGTTTTTATGTAAGAAACAAATGGAATTAAATGAAGCACAGGAAGTATTTCACTTTTACTACTTTAGCATTTCTTCCAAATGTGTTCATTGAAATAAGAGAGATAATTATCATCACAAAACCCCCTCCTGTGAACATAAGCTAAATGGGTTGTTGGACATGGAAAGGAATAATATATGATCCCTAGGCTATTAAGTGACCATTGTTTTGTTGTATTAAAAGAGTCAAGTTGTACAAGACAACTATTTGCCTCAGGATATGCTGTTTTCCTGTGAGTCTGTGATAATACAGCTGTAGGTTACCTTTACACAAAAAGGCCACCCCTGTTTGATCGCAGAGCTGCTTAATTGAGCACTTCTTTTTAAAAAAATTTTTTTAATGTTTTTTATTTATTTCTGAGAGAGAGACAGCGTGAGCAGGGAAGGGTCAGAGAGAGAGGGAGACACAGAATCTGGAGGAGCTTCCAGGCTCTGAGTGGGCTGTCAGCACAGCGAGGCTCGAACCCACAAACTGTGAGATCATGTCCTGAACTGAAGTCGGACGCTCATCTGACTGAGCCACCCAGGCACCCCTAGATATAGAATTATTAAGTGAAATATTTACAAATTTAATTCACTGATATATTGTGTCCTACCACATTATTATTATACATACACTTATTTCATTGTATTAACTTCTATAAGAAAAATTATGTGATCACTTCAGTAGACATAGAAAAATAATTTGATGGCATTTAATGTTTTATGACATTGGATGACATTAATAATAATAATGACTCATGATAAAAGCTTTTAGCAAACTAGGAATAGAAGGGAACTTTTTTAACTGAAATGATACTTGTCAAGCAGTCACAGTAAACATCATAATTAGTGGTGACTCATTATAAATATTTCTATCAAAATTAGCAATAATTCGGGAGTGCTATTCATCATTCTGTGGGAAGTTCTACTTTATATAGTAAACCAGAAAGAGAAATGGAAGGTATAAGCACTGGAAAACATGAGGTAAAGCTGCTTCATTTGTAAATGATATTATTGTTTGCCTAGAAAATTGAATAGAATATTTAGATCAATTATCAGAACTAGTGAGACAGTTCAGTAGAGTTGATGGGTACAAAGACAATGTAGAAAAAATACGTTTCTTATCCACAGGTAATAACCAATTAGAAAGTATAAAGGTAGAACAATTTCATTCATAGTATCAACTAAAACTTTGAAGTGTTCAATTGTAGTTGTTCCAGAAGATGGTCAAGATATTTATAGATAACATTATCAGATATTATTAAAAGACATAAAAGAAGAAGAGAAAAAGGAGAGACATATCATGATCATTGATTCATAGTTAGGAAAACAATATCATGAAGATGACAGTTCTCCTAAAATAAATTTATAAATTCAGTGCAAATCTAGTCAAAATATCCACTGGATAGTTTAGAGAAGTTGCAGACTGATCTTCAGATTCATAGGAAGAGTAAGTTTATGAATAGCCAGAATAATTTTTACAAGCACTGGTATAAGGTACATGCCTTACCAGGCATCAAGACTTATGATGCTCTAGTTATTAAGATGGTTTATTATTGGCATAAGGTTAGTCAAATAGAGAATTTTGAAATAGCTCTACTCATATTTGTGAATTTATTATCTTAGTATAAAATGGAAATGATGTTAAATAAGTGGGGAAATGATGGATTCTACATGAATTGCTGAGACAATTATCTGTGTAGGGAAAAAAATTGATCTTTATCTCACACCTGATGCAAAAATAAAGTCTGGATGGATTGACAATTTATTTGTGAAGAGGTCTTTAAAACTTAAAGAAGACAGTATAAGAAATTATTATTATCACTTTAGAGGTAGACTATAATATCTTAAACTGAAACTCTCTAAATAAAAAAATCCTGAATGGAAAACATTGTTAGAGTCACTACATTAAGGTAAAATTTCTTTCTAATAAAAGAAGTTAAAAGACAGGTAAAAGCAGAGTTGGAGGTATTTGCTTTGTGTATAGCTAAGAGATTAATGGAGATTAATGGTGTTGAAATAAAAAGGTCTTAGCTTGAAAAAAAGAATCCAGTAGGGTAGGTCTGACAATACCAAGTATTGGAGCCATGGGAATGTTCTGGCCAATACGTGGAGCCATGGGAATGTTCTGGGAGAGTATAAAATTTTACACCTGAACTTTCATGCTCACATATATACTTAGATATGTTCTAAGATTGAGTGCTTTTATTAGCAGATAGAGGAGAATGTTTGTAGTGCTATTAGTATTAGCCCAAACTTGGAACAACCTATGTTTCTACCAGGAGTAGAACAGAGAAGTAAATTACGGTATATTTATACAATGGCATGTTAGTGTCATCTATGAAAATGAGTAAATCACAAGTATGTACATCAACATGACTGAATATAGAAAGTAGTATTAGGCAAAGAAAGAAAGTTATAGAAGCTTACATTGTATGATTGTATTTATGTAAAGTTTAAAAATGGGAAAAACTAATATGTTACTTAGGGTTTTGTGCTTATGTGGAATAATTAAGGAAAGCAAGGGAATAATGAAAAAATTTAGTTCAGTTGTTACCTCTGTTAGGAGCGGCTAGGGGATTGTGGTTAGGTAGGGGCTTGAAGGGGGCTGCAGAGTTTTTGTTACTGTTTTCTGAAAATGGATATTGGTGGTAAGCACACATGTATGTGCTTTTATTCTTTAAACACAATATACTGTGCACTCTATAGGAATGGTTTATGGTGTAATTTTTTTTTAAATTACTGGCCTCATCAGCATTAACAGTCTGTTGGCCAATAAACAAGGATTGGCTTTATCAGCAAATAAATAATACAATGCAAAGTAAAAGAACCAACTATTGTTCCAAACCCATTAGATTAGCAAAAATTAATAACCCTGGACGATAAGAATCTAGAGGAACCACAAATCTTGTACTATTAGGAGTGTATATAGTGTATATAGTACATAGTGTATAGTGTATATAGTTACCTCCACTTTGTAGAGTTATTTGGTAGGTTTTTTTTGTTTTTTGTTTTTTTAATTATATGCTCTAATCTGGATTTTTTTCTTTTAGTATAAAGAATAAAGAGCAATTGGCTCTATTTGTACATTAAATACTTTATTGTAGGTAACATAGATTACCTATGTCAACATGGATGAGGTTTTAATACAGTGTTGAGAGAAACCAGTAAGTTATGAGTGATACCAAACTATGATGTCTTTTTTAATAGATCTTTTAGAATATGCCCAACAGCCAATGTTCTCACTGTATACTTGCTTATGCTCTCTTTGTTTTCACTTGTTGTAGCTCTCTTTCCTTCTCTCTCTCCAGCCCCCTTCCCGCCATCACACATACAGTGTTTTTTTGGCTAGATAAATATGTAGGTAGGTATAAAAAAATATATGGGAATGATAAACATCAAAGTAAAGACACTGATTACCTGTCAGGCGAAGGGAGGGTGAGTGGTAGCAGTCATCATCATTCTTTGCAAATAATGCCACAAATTATGATTTTTTTGAGCATAGAAGGATTTTTGAGACTATGAAGTTTGAGTACCACTGTTCAATTCCTTCAAAACTGAATTTTTACTAAACATGTGAGGCATTTATTTTGCAAAGAGTAGCAAATCTCATGTGTTTGACAGACCCACCAGAGGGAGCCCATACAAATCCTGCATCTATTTAATCTGATATAAAAAAAATAATAATAAGTACATACCTGGACCATGCTCAGAGAAGCCGTATTTTCCTTTTGTCCCTGGAGATGCCTTGTCCTGTTCCACCAGCTGTGTTCTGTGTACGATTCCTGTGAATATACTCTGAGGGCAGTGAACACACCAAGGGGCTGTGGAGGAGGTAGGACGCTCAGCAATTTATTCTTCGCTGCAGAGTCTTTGTTTCCTCTGAGTGTCTTCATTGTCTTCATTCCCCTTAGATGACTTCCTGTGGGTCAGTTTAATCCAGAGTCTTTCTCTTACATACACATATGTGCAAGCTGTGCTTCCTTCTGAATTTAAGATTGTTCATGATAAGCCTTCTTTC